TTTTTAGGTTTGGCCGCAAACGTGTGCTAATGAGCATGATGGCAGCGCAGAGTATTCTCGCCTTGCTCTCTTTACTCATCCGTTCCTACACGCAGTACGTGATCGTGCGGTTCGTTATGGGCTTCGTGTCCGTATCGGTGGTTTACGCCGCGTTCGTATTGTCCGTGGAACTTGTTGGTGGAAAATGGGTGACTATTGCTGGCGTCTGCAACTTCTTCCCACTGCCCCTCGCGTACTTTATCGTATCCATACTTTCCTTGTACTTGCCTAAATGGAGGGAACTTCAAATGACATTATCGTTTCCTGGATGTTTGCTGCTTCTTTTATGGTACGTACAGAAAAGGGTTTATTTTTATTAAAAATTTTGGGAAGATTCCTGCTTTGCATCCAATTATTAAATAATAATTTAATTATTCCTAATTTTACTTTCAGGTTCGTTTTTCCGGAATCCCCGAGATGGCTTCTTAGTGTGGGAAGAGTCAAGGAAGCAAAAGAAGTCTTGCAAAAAGCAGCTAAATTTAACAAGAGAGAACTCCCTGTTGATTTGGACAAAATGATTTTACTTAACAAATCTGAGCATTCCGGCAAAGAACCCAGTGTCTTGTTGCTTTTTAAGGGCTATATACTCAAAAGAACAATTTTTCTGTTCACCGCTTGGTTTACATTGACGATTGCCTATTATGGACTCTTATTAAACATAGGCAAGCTGGAGTTGGGGCATCTTCATACTAGTTCAATAATTCTCGCTATAGTAGAGGTTCCAGCTATAGCAGTGAGCATACCAGTTCTACTAAAAGCAGGAAGAAGGATTCCTATTTTCATCAGTTTTCTAGTTTGTGGAGTGGCTTGTATAGCGTTCGAATTGTTCTCAATGTCGTTAAAGAGCAAGTGGTATCTGATTGCCTGTTTGATGCTGGGCAAGTTCGCAATTGGATCAACCAATATGATGCTACCCATCTTTACAGCAGAACTCTACCCGACGTTTATAAGAAACTTAGGAGTCGGCGCCAGTCAATGTGCAGCAGGATTAGCGTTGATTTGCATACCACATCTTTGGGAATTAGTAAGTAAAATTCAAACATCAGGTTAGGTTAGGTTAGGTTAGGTGACATTCATTAATTTAAAAATATATACTACATATAATACAATTTGTTTATTTAATAATTGTATTATATAATATATAATACAATTATTAAAGCGACGCTAAGCGAAGTTAGCTAAAGGGATTTTCAACAAGAACTTTGTTTTGTAAATCAAAATAAAACAATAAATTGGGATGACAATGATTAAAATTTTTATTGTATTAAAAAAAGTAAGGTTTGGCGATTATGAATGAAAAATGATATCTGATAAATGTCCACCACGACCACACTTACAGATGTCGATTCTTTCATTATAGTTTTTAATTTTTTAGTAAATATAGATAAATTCGTAATAGATACAAAAATTCGTATGGTCCGGCTACTTGGTTCCGTGGCTTTGTTGGCATAGCGTTTGGCACGGTTTACTGGAAGACGTTGGTTCGAATCGAGTCGGATCGAAGGATTGTTTCTTAGTGTTCGATCTTTGTATTAATAATTATAACAAACTAGTAGAGTAATTTCGGAAAAATAATTGAATATCATGGTGATGCACACACGTGACGTTCAATAAGCTATAAATAAAAATTCTAACTACTAATTTATAAAAGATGCAATCGTTAAGTGTGCCCAGGCGATTATTCCATAAATATAAGAGATATCAAAAAGATTAAAGTGATATAGAAAATACGACGAGTAAGTCGTCATCAATAACTTTTTAAAAATAAAACTAGAAATATCCAAAATTTTGACATTAAACGGTTGCTTTGAAGAAAATTTACAAAATTTTTCTAACGCTGATAGACTCAGTTTCTTATAAGAATGATTGTATTGGAAGAAAACGAATTGGGACAGCAGAAATTCCATTGAAAATTGCTGCAAGTGCGTCTTTAACTTCTTGAACACTGTTGTATTTTTTTTATAAATTTCATTTAACTAATACATAATACGTTGTCAATTTGTTAGTTTCCTTAACTACCTAGAATAACTGATTACTAAATACGTCCCTATAAAATGTATGGAAAAAAGGTTTTTCCATACATTTTATACATTATTTGATTTCTGACATTTCGAGTACTCTTACCTCAGTTGGTCTCATAGAGACTATTGGTTCTTAACAGAGACCGGATCGAACGGCATAACAAAAAAGTTTTGTAAAAACTGAATTTTATCTTGCTGACTCTACCATTTTTCCAAAATCTGTGAATGCCAAATATGTCAAAATATCTTCAAAATTCATGGATAGTCTTCTAGAACCGTTTTTCTGTAACTATAACGATGAAGGTGGCTGGCCTTGCTGCCCCGTCTCAAATTTACACCCTGTATACGAGAAACTAAGTCGATCACTACTAAAAATTAACTTATATGGACAACTCACACGACCAAATAATTTACTAAATAATTGAATATGCCATTAAAGTCTTATTCAAGTAAAAGATAGTTTTATAACTTTATTTATAGTAGATTTATTGTCTGTAAACTTATTGTTACCTCTTAAAGTGGGTCAACTAAAGCCTCCCTACGAATGTCATATTAAATGTATGGGAGTGTTTAGCGTTAAAATCTTGAATATTTTTATTTTTTAAAAGTTATTCACGTCGATTACTCATTCGGTAACGTACTTTCGATATCAGTTTAAAGCTTTTTGATATCTCTTACATCTATGGAATAATCGCGTGGGCACACAATAAGATTATAAACCCTGTATACTTTATTAGAGGTATAAAAATTGATCACAAGATCAAATTATGAACGTAGTAAAAGTTATTTGAAACATTTCCATTGATAAAGTTTGCATTGAAAGCAAGCAAGGCTTTAATCAAGAAAGCTCGCAGTTATTGCTTCATTTAGAAATTAAAATGGGGATTTTTTAGAAAACACTGAACGAGCATCTGCCCTTAGTGACGATAGCGGTTTTGAGCGCCATTGGTGGCACCATTGTCCTGCTACTTCCAGAAACTGCAACGACAAATAATCACTCACCTCCATCCGTTGCTGGTAATAAGAAGTAAGTTTTAGAATTTAAATAGGTATAAGTTATATAGTATCGTCCTAACTCGCAAGAAATCGTCCTTCGTGTAGGAAGAAAGTGATAGAATTTTTTAAATATTTTTACATTGTATAGTTAGCTCGAATACTGATTATAATCTACATAACGCATCTTATGAATAAATATCGAAATTGTGAAAACTTCATAGTGGTGCCATCTGTTATTATAGTAATACCATTTTGTTTATTGCAGGCCTTCTTTCGATTGCGCGTCACCGTGCAATGGAACGTTTACGGTCACCGACGACAGAGGGCATTAGTGATCGTAAAATTGTAAATATTGGAACAGAAACTAAGTTACCATTCCAAGTGTACAATATTCATACCTAGGAATTAGTGAGATTACTTTCGAATTTAATAACTAACTATGTGATAAATACGGACACTTTAAAAGTGAAAAGAGATGGAAATTTAAATCCATTTTCCGTCTACGGCGAAGTCAAGAAGATTCAAAATGGAATATTAGCGAAAGTGATAATTTAAATTTAGGAACACGTTAACGTAACTGTCGTTTAAACGCGTGATGTACAATTCTGTAATAATAATTAAATTAAATACGAATGAGTGTGTTTCGTCGTACATACTTTTTTATTAAAACTTTGCAAATAGGAAATTAGTTACTTTGAAAACGTAATTCATTATAATCTTCATAATAAGCTCATAATCTTCATAATAAGCCTAGATGCATAATTTATGTACAAGCCACAGACGAGTAGCTCATCTGTGGCACAAGGGTCCTTTTGGATTTATCCACCTATCCTATTTCCATAGATATCATAAAGTCGCGATCAGAATTTTTGGGATATAATTAAATGTAATTTAAATATTTCTCCAAAACACTCAAGGTAAATAATTCATAAAACTATGTACATAATAAGTAAGATTACATTTACTTACATACATTTGCTCATTCAAATATATTACGTAAAAGTATTCTTATGTATTATTTTCATTGTAGTAAAACTGGAATGGCGAAAGACAAAAATTAAAAATGACTCCAATCTTAAAGAAGTACTAAGTTGGTAAGATAAACTAAGGGTTTTTACGAAGATAAACTATGTGAATGAACAATAAGAAATCTTTGTAAGAAACTTATGTTTTGTGTTTCTATAAACGACGTCACAAGTACGGAAATATAGATTCAAGATTGAAGAAATTATAATGCAAATATAATATGAAAGATATCGATACAATTTTCCTTGTAGGTACTAGTTGCCTTGTGACTTTTATAACTAGCTTTACTTAAATAAATCAAATATTTACTTTGTTATATATTTTTATTATAAATATATTTTTTATGTTTGGTTTTTATTAAATCTTTTCAATAGTATGTCGACGTTGCCCATTTAAAAATAGTTGTACAAGAATAAAACATATCTTACATGTTTTTATGAAGTGAGAACGTGTCTGTGAATAATTGTCTGTTAGCGAATAATATTTTTGTAATATTATTTAAAAGTACATTTATACTTTAATAGTTAAGTAACGCATAGATTATATAAGCACGTCTATTTACTTATAAACAAAAATACTAATGGACTTATTTAGAGGAACGCCAATAAAGGTTGATTTATGATAACAGTATTTATACGAACCAGTGGCCACATATACCAGAATGTTTAATCGAAATCAAAAGACGATTAAAGTAATTATTTTTTAAAGTTGGGCGAGTCATAGGAGAAGAAGCGGGAAAATCAGTTTTGCGAAATCAATAAATAGTTTAGGTGCTACCACACACACAAGGATATCATCTAAAGAATGCGCTTAATTCGTTACACGATAGGATGTATTTTATTCGATCATATAAAATCCCGAAACAGGCTAAAATAAAAGTCTAAGATGAATTATTTAAGAACAAAATTTTTATACCTTGCACATAATTTTCATATGGAGATATTTGTCTTTAAATACTACAGAGAACCTGCAAACTTTTGGTTTTTAAGTGAAGCCCTATTTATTAAATTCATATTTATCTCAAAACGTTGTCAATCGCCATTGGGCGCTTGTCAACGTGAGATCTCTGTCAAATTTTCTCCGCCTATTCTTTCATATTAATGGCGCGCCCCTCCCTCACACCTCAACTTCTAAAATAAAGGCTCCCCTCCAAATACCTCACCTTGAACGTACTAGTATATATGCCGTATACAATGTTCATATGGTTCATATGAACATTGTTATCATAATTCCTTTATAAGCGTTCGTCTAAGGCTGAGATTTATAAAACGAACTTTAACTTGAGCGATTGCACAAAGATGGCGAGCTACGTAAGTCTTTTGTATTGACAAAATTTAATATGTTTAATTTAATTTTTGCTTAAACTTAGGTAAAGTTTGTTTTGTAAATACGAAAAACTTGCTTAGTTCATCATCTTTGCTTAGTAGAATCATGGATCAATAACTCAAGAGGACTGATAATCGCGTACAAGACAGCGTAGTCAGGTATTTAGTACCAATTGGTACACCAGATGTCGCGACGAGTACCAAATAGCTATTTTTTTAAAACTAATTTGTTTTACATTGACTAGCTATTTATCAAAGCTACTTTAATTTGTAGTGATAACAAACAAATCAACTAGATGGCGCTTATTGGACAAGTTTTTAAGAATTGCGCCGCCGACTACTCTTTTATTTTGTTTAGCATTAGCGCCATTCATTTATATTAGGAAGCGTTAATTTGTAAACTAATTTGTAACACAGAATGCCATTTCCATGCCTTACTTTCTCGAACTCGTATCTTATAAAGAGTGATTATTCAGAAGATGGCAAATCTTTCTATTTATATTAATTTCTTGTCAAGGGTATCAATTTGAATGCGTTACTATAAGAATAGGTAAAAGTCAGTGTGTGAATATGAAGGAAATGTGATGTGAAATCAATGTGCAAAATTTGTATACGCAATCCATTTTTTGCATTTCAGTAACTTTGTGCTTTAAGATACGAGCTTGGGAAAGTAAGGCGACGATTTATTGACACACATGTCAAAGCTCAGAAAACTTTAGCTCAGAAATGTTTAGCTTATGATCAATATTTGCATAATATTACAAGGAAAAAAAAACTGGCTACATTTCCTATTAAAGAGGAATGAATTTATATCCACGTCATTTACATAATCTAAACTACTTCCAGGTTGATCAGCGCCATCTATATATAAAAAAGAATTTTGACGTTTTTCAGAGTTACGATCTGTAGTACGGAGATTAGCAGTCCCGTCGACCATGGATCAATAAATACCTCTATTGATCCGTGGTCGAAGTCAGGGGCGAAATAGGTCCATAAGTGTATTTCGACGAGAAATTAAATTTCTTCCGTGCAAACAAGGGTAAGCAAGTAAGTTTTGAAATTATTTTTCACGTAAAATATAAATCGTGTAAATTTTGTTGAGTAGTGTTTGGAAAGATAACTGATTTGCAAGGTTTTAAATGATTTCTCACATAAACATTAAATATATATCACAAAATCAACGCAATACGCCTGAGTGTATGTACTTATTCAAATTGTTGTATTTAGCGTAATGTGTTTTGTATCAAATTGGCGTAACAGTGATGAGTTATTACTTCACTTTGATCACCAATGTATTATCGAAAAGTTCATTGGCAGTTTGTTGAATCTCTCGTATGCTTGCAATTTGTTAATTCTATTAATCACGCGACGGAATAGCGTTTGTATCTATCGTACACAAACGCATTCTTTAAATACAATATACGCTTGATTACATCCAATAATCCATCAATAACCTAATAGGATAGAAAAGTCAGTTTCCTGCATAGATCTAAGTTACCTTACTTGTATCATAAATCATAAACTAACAAAATATTAAGCAGTGGTGTCAAAGTGAAATTAGTCGATAAAAAAATGTTGTTGTCATTCATTAAATATTAAACGACAAAATTATAAAATTATATTTATTTATTTACCCTAAACATACACATTGTGTATTTGAAATTAACTTTCTAACATCAACACTTTCTTCGACAATATCTATATTGTCGAAGAAATATTAAAGTGAATACCAGAAAATAGCAAAATCGCAATGTTCTTTACTCACAAGTCATAACAACAACAAAAGAATATCGACAATGACAACTATTGACAAGTTTGAAGCTCAGCTTCGCAGTCAAGGAATCTTTATGTCTCACAAAATTTTTACCGATACTGGTTTAATTATCTTCTTATTATATGCGCTGTAAATAATAAAGCTGAAATTGTCATGATCGTACAGTTTTGTAAATAGGTACATTGGAAATATATTATTTAAATAAAACTACTGTTCATAACTTTTTGTTCTTTCATTGAATATGACTAAGTATGAGTCCACATATTTTTTACCCGTTATGCAACTGCATAATTGTTGGTGTACGTACATTATTCCAACGTAAATACATGAACTCGTGTATTTACGTTGGAATAATGTACGTACACCACCAGGACATAATTATTAAAAAATGGTATTTTCTTGCCCAGAATAGGATCAGTTCAATTGACCCTTCGCGCTATGGTGTGTCTTAAGTATTTTTAGAGGACTAACGTTTGCTTTATACCATAAGGTACAACCTGTCACTTTTTGAAATTGCAAATTATTTATCAGTGTAAAGTGTAACGATACAAGATAAGACTTTAGGGACACAATGTTGAAATATGGAATATCTTCAAATCTGTCTTCCATTATATAATATATTTACAAATCGGGTAAGACAACCGTTATTAAAGAAATAATACAAGGTAGAGTACTTTATAAAGAATAAATACCGGAAGTAACTATTTAAATATTCTAAGCGGGACATTGACACCGACACACGTCTAGGGCGCGGGCGGTGCATTCCCTTGCTGTCGTTACAAAATGTTGGTAACGGTGACGCCTGAGCCTGCGCCGCCGGCGTTACGGCACGTGTCTCGACTGATTAAACTACTCACTTGTATGTTTGCACTGACACTCACGTAAACACTAGTTTCGTTTTTTGTAAATGATAATACATAACATACAAGCAATCATTGGGTTAGCGAGGAGCATGCTTTAGTCAATTGAACTGTTAGCATTAAAAGTCTATACAACCTCAAATGGCTTTGGTTGATTCCACATAACAGTGAAAGTACTGAATCAATCACTTTGGAAAAAAATATACAGCAAAATTGAGGATATGCACTGATTACTGTATGGTGTGAAAACACAATTCCTAAAAATTTTTACGATAGAAAAAAACTTACCTCGAAATTTACTTTACGTACACCGATGACACTTTTATATCAACGGAACCAAATGGAACACGTATAGTATACGATATACATTTTTCAAATGGCTTTAATTTCGTTTGTAAAACAGTAAATTCTGAAATAAAGCCAGTGTCCCTTGTGCTCGGCCCAAGCAAAATGAACCGTATTAGTACGGGAAAAAATTGAATTCGAGCTGAGGTAATATTGACTCTCAAAATATATTATTTTCTTTTTTCACTCCTAGGAGCAAATAGCGAACCCACACATTCATAGTACTTTGTATTAAACTCAAAATTTTGTTCCAGAACAGTACACAAAAGTTACTAGTACACGCAATTATACGGGGTTCTATCTTTTTCTACCGTCACCATCCAATTACTTGGTTAAATATAATAATAATTTAGGAAATGAAACTATTTTTCCGGATTTAAATCGCGTATATTTGTTTTTTCAAACAAACCGACGTTTCGGGCCCTTTACAGGTCCCATGGTCACGGTTGACCGTGGTCCGTTTATACGCGATTTAAATCCGGAAAAATAGTTTCATTTCCTATGTGTAACAATCGCGAAAACCTAAGAACTCGATATATAATAATAATTTATTTATTTACTTAAAACATGTACAGCAGACGATATAACAAAAACAGTGAAAGTATAAAGAATTAAATAATAAATAGCATGCTAATAGATATTAGCTACTTATATAGATATAACTAGATAGTTATACGATTACACGTATATACAATTGACTGCTGCAATAATAAGAATGTCTCAAGTTACAAATTTATAAGTTAAATGGTATGTCACTAGTGTTCTTAAACAAAAGTGTCTGTTTTCGTACACAGATACAATTTACGTATTATATATATATACAATTTACATATATATAACGACGGTGGCAACAAACCAAGAATCTGAAACAATTAAGTATGAAACATGCGGGTTTCATCCCATGCGGGTGAAATTCTGTAATTTGCTCTAATGTATTTCTATTGTATTACAAAAGGTCTGTTTAGATTTTTACTATTACCCCAGGCTATAAAACCGTAACGTAATATGGAGTCTACATTTTTTAAAATAATATCAAGAGACGGGACGAAAAATTCGATCGCCTGATGGTTAGCTACACGCCTGTCCGTAACAGTTGCAGTACCACTAAGAGCTTTAAGTCGCGAAGGTCTGAGGTGCACTGCCATTGCGCCCGTCTCCCCGAGATATAAGTTGACATATCCCATATTCCTGTAACTTCACCAGCTTCGAAACCGGAACACAGTTATGCTGACATTACTGTTTGGTGGCAGAAATAGGTAAGGTGGCAGAACTTCCCTGGACAAACTCTTTCACAAGGAGCTCTACTACTACTACATGCGCCATTTATATGCCTATCATAGCTTTCTTATTAATTATATTTAACTTTCTTAAGGCAAGCAATACACAAACTTGCTATGGATATTAAAATTGAAATTATATTTTGTATGTTTCGACTAGAATTTTATTATTTATTTTAAATTGTATATAGTTTGATTTGCTTAAGGTATATTTAGATTATTTTATTGTTTGTAGCCAATTATTAAATTTATAAATTGTATTATTTATGTCTAGTTCATGGTCTCTAACAGTTGTTTTCTTCCTACCAGAAATAACAATTATATGCTGTCCGCAAATAATATTAATTAACGTTTTTTTCAAGTTTTATTTGTATGTAGTACGAAGAGAATTGCTCTTATCACACTTCCTTGTGGATTACTGTGTGTTTTGATTTAGGTTGAGAATTAAATTACATTAATATTTGTTATTTAGGAGACAAAATCGCGTTGTTGGCCGTTTATCAACTATGACTCCAATGAAAAATGGCTTTATGCCTGCTGTTAAGTTTTTTAGAAGTAAATTATGTGTTACATAGTTAAAAGCCTTTGACATGTTAAAAAATAGTCCTGTAGTTTAGTTACTTTTAGTACTGTTGCTCTAGTTTTACAGTGTATTGATTCTTCACAAATGTACACAAGTTCTTAAATCAAGCTTCTTAAATAGTCTGTTTATAAAAAAAATATAAACATACAAATTAACTGTCTCAGTTGACTACTTACACGGTCAGTGATTTGATTTCTAGCCCTCACAAGGTCGCATTAAATTGTCTGGCAAGCAATCAGTGGCCTGTACAAATTGTTCGAATGAAGTAATCCTATGATTTGAATTGGAATAATTCAGAGCTATTTACCAGGGCCCCAATTCTGCTAATTTCAAATCACCTCAGTTATGTGTTGATAGTGTCAATGGCAGGATTTTGTACGTTTGGTATTCTGTTAAAAGTTAAGCGTAGTGGCTTGTCAGTGGCCAGCCATCGAGCTATTATTCAACTACTATTGCAAATTTTTGGCCGTTTCCTCATGCCGTATCCTTTTGCTCCTACTGGTAGGACCAAAAGGATAAATATGTCCTCGTGCATCTACTAATGTATTGTCACCTAAATTTGTAAAATATATGTAATTGATATTGTAGTACTCGAATGCATGTTATCGATTCTCTAAGCTTATTAGCGTCTTCACTGAAAGTTGTTAACGTATTTCCGAAAGAGCGGAAAGTGACGATTTCAAGCGTAATTTTCTTCTTACCTATGAAATAAAGATATTTTTGACTTTTTTATTTTGATTTTTTTTATTCTAGTTCAGTGTACTTATTAGATACGACGTCACAATAGGAGCATAAGGACATATTAGTCCTCGTGCCAGTAGGAGCATGAGGAAACGGCCCAATTTTTTGATATTCTGCTCTTCAGTGGCCAAAAAATGGCACGCCGATAGTGTATTTTCATATTATATATCGCACTGCTATTACAATAGTGTTATAACTCAAAATATGTGAAATTCAAGATTATACCATTGTTGAACGTAAAATTTGATTCTCTACACGTCAATAAAACGGTCGTTAGAATATTGTAAAAAACAACTAAAAGATATCTACTTAACTACTTAACTCAAAATGAGAAACGCTTTTTGTGAGCTAGTTCTGGCCAAAATAGTCCTTATTAAAAAATATGAAACTATTTTTTCCCTTTTGTTTTTAAATATGTATATTTGGCAAGATCTTTCACGGGAAGCGAGCAATTCGTATTTCGTCGATTCTGAGAAAATACGCTTTTTGAGTTAATACATAATATTGTATTAACAGTGCGATATATTTAATTTGAAGACTAAATAGCAGTTTAAACGAGATAAAATTAAGATATGCATAATAATTGCCACAGTAGTTTTAATAAAGCAACATTGATTAGTATGAATATGCCATCACTGAAATTCCACTGAGACTCAACTAGAAAGCCATTGCAACTAGATTTTAATAGAATAGCAAATATTATCATAATTGCAATGTAATCTCAATGGAGTCTCAAAATTACAGTAACTAGTGGAGGTGGAAAATCAGCAGAATTGGGCCCCAGGTCATTCACCCGTGATACTCCTGACACTAATGCATGAATTAAACAGGTAGCTGAGTACCTGAGAATGTATGAATATGACCCCGAAACATGTCCCATTGTGGTTACAAATAGAGTACGTGTCGAATCAGAAACGAACCGTTGAAAAAGGTGATACGGGACAGGTAACGGTGTTCACCTTCCACCACTATCCTGTCGGGCAATTCTGTTAGTAGTTCGGGGAATACTTGCTAAGCGTTATGCTGTAAATTGTTACATATTAAACAACGACGGCTTGTAGGAAGAGTGTTCGTAACTAGCTATTAGTGTGAGCATGAAATACTTTTGACGACTATCGACGTACCCATTGTTATACTCTGTACTTTTGGTCTAGAAGCCTTACGCCGTGATTGTGTTTAATGTCAGTTAGATACAAAATTAAGCATTGTTTCTATCAACATGACAACATCTATGAAACAAGGAAGTTATATCGTACGAGTTACAAATAGCTTTTTAGTCACATACATGTACTTACTTCGTACAGCACGTAACTTTGAGATAAAGGTAACTGGTGATTTATTACTTTATTATCACTTAGGTTGCAGGTACTTTTTATTAACGTAAGTAATTGCAGGAAATGCATATCTACTCTTTAATCAATGACAGTACTTTATTGTAAATAATAACTTTTATTGTAAGTTTTTTCGAAGTGTGTAAAAAAAGCGGGAAAAATTCTCTTAATTACTTAATTGACGAAAAGAAACTCTATAAGTATATCAACGTAGACATTACAAATTTCCACTGTCGGAAAATTATGTCTAGTTAGTCGGGAGGCGGGGGCAGCGGGGAATGAACTATTATGGCCAAGAAACTCTCACTCGTGATGCTGTCGATACACTTTCCTGTGCGCCTGCGCAGACCGCTGCGCCGTGACTTGACTGCAGCTTACGCGCATCGATGATGTAACACCCTAATTGGATTATCTTGTCACAGCAGGATTTTGGTAAAACATTACATTACCCACATGTAGGCTTAACATGTCTGGATTTTATGGTATTTTTGATGACTACATAAATAGAAAGATTAGCTTTTAAACTGCATATTATGCGTGCCCTACTAAGCAGGCGAACCTCTCATGAGACTTCTCGCCAGTCATAATTTTAGTAAGAAGGTGCAGGTACATTAGACTGTTGTAATAGTTCCAGATATTTATTGATATTTATAGCTTGTTTGTATTGGGTCCAACACGCTAAAACACGCTGCAATTCCACACCACTGAGTATGAATATCTTAATGAAATCACACAACTAAGTCAGGGTCTCCTATGTTATCATCAAAATTTATTGATTAAAAATAAAGTACATTAAGTATGTTTGCTTATGTTCTTTCTTACTCGACTTGTATGTACATGACAAGGTAAGCGTATTTAAAATATTATCTTAACATGTTCATACGTATAGCTCCACAATGTCTTATAGAATCCTGAACCACTAAAAGTAAAAAGTTACGAGCTGTTGCCACACCTGACATATCGCCCGATTGAATTACAAATTGAAAAAGAACAATAGGAGGTGACAAGACGAATTGGATGTTACGTCACTGCTTTTGTAACTTTATGGTGTCTCATCTGAGGAACTTATTCTAATTTGATCTACAAACCTAACATGTCCTTGTTGACGAGAAGTTATAGAATGTCTAAGTACCGCTTACTAATTTCACAGGCTTAGAAGCTAATTTGTAGAGGCATGCCTGAAAATCTACAATACAAAACAAACCAGTATATTTCACTTGCAGATTATTTGCTAATTATGATTGGACGCATTTTAAATCACGAAACTGATAAATAGAAAATGTTTCAATATTCATAGAAATGAATTAAAATTAGTTGAAAATAATTTTGATAAATGTTCACATTTTTTCATTGCTAATTTGCACGCAACTTTTTTGTTTCACCTTCAGATATTCCAAAGTTCTAACATTTATTAAAAATTAACAACTCTTTTTCACACAAGCACAAGTCATGTTATTGATTTTTCATCATCGCAATTAGTCCAATTGCAAATTAATACGACAATGCGGTTTGACTTGGTATTTATTTATGTGAGCCATTACAATTATTTCCACATTAGCCATAATAAAAATTCAAGTGAAGATACATAAAAAATATAACAAACGAATACTAATTAATAGCTCATTTAGCGGTACCTTCTTTATTTAGTACAGCTGATTTATGTGACCGGTGCATTTCTTCGGGATAGTAGAGGTGTAGCATACGTCCACAGTCGGTCACCTTGCAATAAAGTATGGTGCTCGCGTCTGAGCTGGGCGAGAGTGGGCGACCTCATATAGCTTGCGCGGGAGTCGATTCCTTTATTTGTTGGTAGTGCGCCGCGTGCTAGTGACGTGCACAGGACATCATGCGGACATTACTGGTAAGTGTCACCCTTATCAATCCTACCATTACCCCTGCTTAAATTAAAACTCTTAAGAAGAAGCACAGAGAAGACAATTCTTTGACATTTTTTGGTAAAAGTTACATAAAACAAGACTATGTATTTCACACTTTCTATGAAAAAATCAACTAAAACGTATGTTTTGAAATAATAATAATACAACAATTAGCAATTTTTTTTACCACCGATAAGCAATAATGATTCAACACAAGGAATTTTATAATAGGCATACTTAAAATAACAACTTGTAGTAAAAATATGTATACCACTTTTATTGCCTTTAAGCAACTACAAGTTGTAAAAAAAGTTAATTAAGTCTATAAATAAACATGACCAGTAAGGACACCGTACTGTGAAAGTTGAGCAAACTAAACTAAGTCACTATGTATGTATTATACTAAATATTTTCGTACAACCAAGAAGTGCTAATGTAGAATATGTAACTATTACATTGCATAGAGTACCTACGCAAGAGTTGCGTGCCTTTTGTATACTGACAAGAGTAAATCAGGTCGATATGATACGACTGGTATTCGAGGAATATACATTTCGTGCTTACCTTGAAGTCGATTGTAAGCTGATAGGTGACTAGAGCACGGCAACAAATCCGGAATGCGGGTAACCTTTCATCACGAAAATTGCCCTTTTTAATTTTCAATGCGGAACTAATTGTCGAGTGCAAACATGTTATTTGGCAAGTACACTGTTGTCATATTAACGGTTCAATTACGTAAAGCACACTACCGGACAAATGCTTTTCTGGTTACGTTACCACACTGGCCCACTGTTATTACCAACAGGCTCGACTAGATGTAGATACGGTTGATACGCATAACTTACTCTATTTCAACAGTTAGCATTAAACTGGAGCCAGTTCGTAGATAGAGGTTGCATTTTGTAAACTAGAACCGCTTTAACTTTCGATCGATAATCGTCAATGTTTAGACATTCCGCAATCACCAATAGTATAATGAACTTGTGAGAAACTTTGCAATAATCGTCTAATTCATATTTAATGAAAGTGTTTAATATTCGATATTTAAAAGTATAATTACATCATTACATAAAAGAAAGACGAATGTTAGATAATCCCTGAACTATTTTCTGATCTTATTGTAAGCATGATCATTAACGTGATATAGTTAGTTCCTTTTGTTACTTAAAGGTCTTAGATTACATGCCGCACGCCATTCGATGTTGGTGTTACCTTTAAATAGTTTGTAACAAATAATGCATGACCATTACGATATTCATTGTTATGTATTGATAATCGCATAGTTTCCGACCGCCTACCACGCATTACCCAACTATTAAACATGAAATATACAGTGCTTATAGATATAACAAATACATTAAAATGCATCATACAAAAGACTTCAACGCGGAGGAAGGCCTACGACATACGCCACCTCGCATGGTACTCGCAATTCGTATTGTTGCAAAACATCGTCTAATTATAATATTTACACACAAAATACATAATTAATTACATCGTATATGTATGTTAGTTATTAATTTTGCGGCACATCAATCCTTTCCTGTGAATACTCGGCTGTCAATAAACTTGTAGATAGCTTGCTGCATTAAATACCTATTTATTGCAATACTAATAGAATTTTAAATACTATGTACGCGCACATACTCGTACACAATCTTAAAACGCTAAATAACATGCTTATAGTTGTTGGTATATGTTGACTCAACATTTCTGTTATTTGATGAAATATCCCCGCGATAGCGCGTGAACTTGACCGAAATTAAGACTACAGTTACATATAGCTTCAAATGTTACTTAGCCACGTATTTATTAATGTAGTTCCACTATTCAAAATCCCTGGAAGTGTTGTAATAAGATGCCCACTACGCGCTTAAGTAAATCAGCTGGGCAAAAATTGTCTCGACAGTTAATATGAAATATTTTACCACTTATTTTTCATTACCGTCTCTCAGCAACCTTGGCAGGCGGAAGTTTACACACATATTGACGAGTGCAGCCGGGCGTCCTTACTGGTCATACGAAACTGGACCCGCCTTTATTCTGAACTCTTAAAATTCCTGCACGTTAATTAATGCACAATGAAATAGTGTATGAATAGTGCATTGAGCACTCTTCCGAAAGGTTTTCAATTGACGCTGTTTATTTCTTTTCATACTGTTGAATATATCTAGAAGCATAGGTGCCTATACATAATATATCGTACATATAGAGAGAAAAATATAGATTGTACACAGTAATGACAATTATATACATAGTAACAATTTTCATCACATTGTTTCGGCAATTTATTGAGTCATAAAGGATATATAACGATCAATGTGAATGTTTATAGTCCAGTCGCTAATATGTACCAGCCAACTAGCTATGACATGCGTGCCAGAGCACATAAACAAGATAAAGGTCGAAAAGTTGCGAAACGATTGATTGCCATCTGAAAGTAGAGTACTCGTATACCATAAGCTTGCGACAATACGCAATAAACCTTTACGTACTTCAGTTAAAACTTCTTTTGCATTTCCCAATATTCTAAAACACAAAAACGCATTCGTCAATCTCATGAATCACCAATAAGAATCATCTTATCCAAGTTATTAATAATAATAACGTTATTAAAAATAATAAAGTTATTAAAAAAAATAAGTTCGGCCACTGCCTCAGTGGCCGAACGGTTACCATGCCGGACTGCCACGCAAAGGTCCCAGGTTCGATTCCCGGGCCGGGAGAAATATTTGTATGGCCTACAATTATTTCTCTCGTGAGTTTGGGTTTAATTTGTGGTTGTCTATATGTGTGTCCACGGCACCCGCGACACAGGGTTTCCCTAGTGCGGGGCTATGTTGAGTGTGTGCGTTATTATTTATTATTATTATTATTGCTCTTTTACTCTTTGATAGTGATAGTCCTTATATCTACATCCTCTACATCCAAACCGAAGACTCAAAAATTTGTGAAAATATAAGTATATATATTTTATTCCGTTTCGATTAACTAATAAACTTGTTAAACTTTTAAAGACTTAAAAAATTAAAAACAAAATCAAAGTAAAATAATAATTAAAATTTAAATATTTTTTTTTCAATTTCATTTCTAAATTAAAGTTTATTAGCTAATTATCGGACTCAAGAATATCTATCACACACAGTAGTTTCTCAAATACGTTCCTAAAACTGGATTGTGCTACAATTAAACGTTATACAATGAAATCCACACACATTACGTAATGCAACTAAACAATGTTTAAGTAAATCTTATTGAAATCATATAATTATATTAAAGCTGTTTCCATAGCGTGTTGGATAAGTCAGGTGTAAGCGTTTCACGCTAAACAAGGTCTACGACACTCGAAAGTATGTCATTCATTGCACGGTCTGGCGCTGCATACCGGGCTACGAAATTCATTAATAGTATTTATGTACGGACCCTTGGGCTATGGTTTCTCACAATAACAAAACAAAATAAATAAAAAAAGGACGGATTTGCAAACACGACGAATACGAACCCCATATGATTATAAATAAATTGGTTGATCGCCTTGCTCTTGTCATTTCTTATACGCCCCAAAGTACTCTATTTATATCGATCGTATAATAACATATGTATCTCATTGCATGATTTCAGATATTTATGCTGTGCGCAGTCACAACATACGCGCAATTTGATTCGCCTGCTCCTCCGAGACTTCAGATTCCTGGGGCCATCCCGTTAGGAAATCCCAGGCAAGGAGGCTTCAGACAAGGAAGACTGCAAGCCGTACCTTTTTCGGCTGCAGTACCAGTACCCAGAATTAGGAGACCAGGCCCTGCGAGACCCTCCTTCAAGTCCGTGGAGGCTACTCCACGACCAAATTTACAAACACTTGATGAGCAGGCAAAGCCAGTTACCGAAGAACCTGAAGACGACATCGAAATAAACACTCCGACTGCGTTCTCGCCGAACATATTATCAACACCAGAACCGCAAAGTGATTTCTTCGAATTCACCACGACATCACAACCGAAACCACCCATTGCCTTTAACCCATTATCTTTCCAGCAGTCTACACCTTCTGTATTGAAAGCCGAACCTATCAGACCGACACAATACAGACCCCTCTTACCGTCGCAATCGTTCAGTCCCACTAGGAATGAACCAGTCAAACCTCAGAGACTCCAGCCATTGTCCATTAGGCCCCAGAGACCGTCATTTAGGCCTGAACCTAGACCGATCCTGGAAGATGATGAGGCGCACATACAACCAGTCAGGCAATACAACAGGCCCCAAGAACCTGTTCGTGCACCAGTTAAGACTGCACCGCAACAAAAGTACTCCCCTTCCAACCCGAGGGAAAAGAAGCCAGTTGCACAAATCATTAGAAAGTACAGAGAAGAAAATGAAGATGGCAGTATAACGTGGGGATTCGAGAATGATGATGGCTCTTTCAAAGAGGAAATTATCGGCATAGACTGCGTCACACGAGGTAAATACGGTTATGTAGACCCGGATGGCGTAAAACGGGAATACAACTATGAAACTGGAATTCCTTGTGACAGAACAAAGGAACAACAAGATGAGAAAGGATTCATAGATTATCAGGAGAATAAGGCTGTCCTTCCTAATGGTATAACCATTGATCTCGCTGCCATGGGTAAAAAATCCAGAAGGCCCTTCAGGTCACCCAATCCTCATTAGAAATTATGATAAGTTCATCATATTTATTTTAGGAAATCTAATTTTAAGGTTGTTTTCGTTGTCTTGTCATTTAAGTGTTATCTAAACACAAAGTAACATTTCTATGACTTCAGGTGGTGTCACTTGTCCTTGTTCATGAAAATAGGGGCACAATAAAAATATAGATACATAGGTATATCATTTTGTTTTATTCATAGTCATTTATCACAAAGAAAACAATCTTATGTTTTAACATCAAAAGTATTCTATTGTAAAAGCAACACAATCAGTATTTTTCTTATACACACATTAGCTATTTACAACAAATAGCAAATCTTTAAAAGAAACTTGTGAACTTTATCAATCAAACTTAGTCAATACCATAACTATAGATAAATATAGAGCTTTACTAATCAGTACGGCCTATTATTCATGTACGGCTGTGGACGTCTCATAGGAGGAGGTAGTCTGTTGGGTGGGGTAATAGAGATGTCCAAATAGTTGCCAATTTGGAATTTGACAGATGACAGTGTCTTATTATCGTCACCTCCTCGTTGGCCTGAACATGTTATCCCAATCTCCCTCATACGATATGTCGGCGATCTAGTATCTGGGTAGACTATAGCAAAATCAAAGTATGTGCCTTTACGCCTAGTCTCAGGGTTTACTTCCTTCACCAGACCTGTGAGCTCTCTAAGCGTAGCATCCATCCATGTATAGATTTGCAATTCATTTTGTGGCACATTACCTCTAGCGTAATCGCCTGTAGAGTTGTGCCTACCAGTAGAACAGAAGACGCGAAGCAGCAGTGGGCAAGTCTGCAAAATTGAACATAAAAATAGTAAGTAAAAATTCATGTTATTTACGAAACAAACAAATTTTAACAATAAGACTAATGAAACAAAAAATAACAACAGAAAAAGAAATAGTAAAGTAAATGCAAAATTTAAGCACCTTTTCTCTATCGACAGGCTTTTCAACGGGTTTAACCTCTTCAACTACCATTGCCATTGATTCTAAGCCAGCCATTTTCATAGTAAGGGTACACAGGCTTGAACGTCTAAGATATGATAACTTCTTAGAATATTTTATCACTAATTTTAGTTAAACTATATTACCACTGAAATCTTCAAATATTTTTTATCAACCAAGCACATATCTCAAAGCAGCGTTGGATGGATAAATAGGATTTTTTTATATTTATTTCGTGACTATGGCTACAAGCACTTAAGTCGATTGGAAAAACTGTTGGGCATTTTCCGAAAAATTTCAAATAGTAGAAAGTTTTCCGGAAAAATTCCCGAAAAATTGGAAAAATTTGAAAATAAGGAACAATATTATTTGGAAGGCTAATATTTAGTTTTACGTTTAGAAATATATTTTGCAGTTTTACTTTGCGTGAATTATAAAATAAACTTGTTTAACTAAAAGCCACATAATAAAAGAACGAGATTTAACATGATGTTGTGAAAAGCGAAAAACTTCCAATAACCACACCATCACCACTTGTTGTTGGCTGCATCGTTCTCGTTCAGCAACTGTTAGAGGATGGAAAGGAAAAAAGCTGGAAAGGAAAGGAGCTGCCTTATCTACGGATAAACATCCCTACCTAAACCAAAAATGTCCATCACAAATGGCGGATTTCTTTAGTGTTGTGCCATAATCATCGATAAGTCTATATTGACAGCAAATGTATGGCTTGAATGTTGAAACTGTTTTTTTTTGTTATGTTTGTAATTTGTATAGTTTACTGTAATCAAAGTATGATTAAAATGTTTAATGAAACTAGATCAATTCATTGTCATATGGGAATATCCAGGATGATAGATAAGAGATTTTGAATTCATTATTTTGCGTTTACAAATGCTCACATATTACGAAAAATAATATATATCAGGAGATCTATGTGCATTTCCAATCTCAAGACTGATATTATATTTTTAAAAGGTTTCCAAATTAAAGGTATTTATGTATTGGTATAGAATTAATATCTGTTATTTTGATTTAGGTGAATCTAACACTTCCATTTAATTTTTGAAATAAATAAAATTACTTATATAATTCTAATAACATTATCGATAATCATAAAATCAGATATAATATTAATAATAGGTAAAATGTAGCAAGAGACAGAGTCAGCACAAATATGTTGTATTACATAACCATATATTAAACTACCACAATAATAAAAATGTCACAACAAATGGTCACAAGTTACAAATTAAATTTGCCAAGAATTATTAAAATCAACATAAAATTTTATATTTTATTTCTTGTCATAAAAAATATAATTATTTAATCACTTACATAACTTCGTTATAAACAATCATGAGTCTAATAATTTAATCTAGAGTGGTATTTTATTATACATATTAACATACATTTTAAGTTACTTTCTCTGTATTTTTTAAGTTACGATTGAATGTGACGATGTTTGGCCACCATGATATTCAATTATTTTTGTGAAATTACTCCACTAGTTTCTTAAAGATCGAACAGTTACAAAAAATTGCAGCGATCTGGCTGGATTCGAACCAACGTCTTCCAGTCAATCGTGACACTATGCAAACTAAGCCACGGGATGAACCAGCGGGCCTTACGAATTTTTCTAAGTGCTTGTTGCAGATCTTTGTTTTTAATTTTTCCACACTTTTTTGCTGTAGCGCCATCTGTCAGAAATCTATTTCTTCACTCAAAAAGTGAGGAAAATTCGTAAGGTCCGCTACTTCGTTCCGTGGCGTAGTTGGCATGGCTTCAGGCACGGTTTACTGCAAGACATACAGCAAATTGATATACAGCTAGTGCTGCTGTCTACACGCTCGACAAGTTTGAAAAAGAGCATTACAAACGGCCATTGTAGATGCGTTTTGTGTAACGTTGGTCGCTGTCAGTTATCATTTACATTGAAACCACATGGATGACGAACAAGTTATTGCAGCTGCTGCTATTTATTATTGGGTGCCTATAATTATTACGTCATTGCATCCAATACATGTTATATAATGTTAGAGTTGTTAGTGGGGAAAAATCGGAAACGAGTGGGTGGTTTTAAGGAACTGAAAATGCCTAGCAATGTCTCTTGTTTACTTTAAATTAAATATAAAATTATTTACCAATAAATACGACGATGGAATTGCATTACCATGTAATCTAGTTACATTCAAAGATCTATTAAAATTTGATTCGTCAAAATGGAGCGAACAAACGAAGGTGATATTTGATCCAATATGTATGTTCGGCAATCCTATAATTTCCAACCATTCTTTCTGTCTTTTTTCATTTGTAGGTAAACTTTAAAAATAAAAATAATAATAATGAAAAAATAAAAATCTCGTAGTGAATTGTTTTAATAACAGGATATTGATAATATGTCTGCTTACAAGAACAACACTATCTCAAAATAATCAACATCTTTTCAACAATCTTCAAAATATACTAACAAACTGGCAATCTGAAGTAACCAAAGCAAAATTCGGCAAGCCTTCTGAATAAACTACTTATTATATAGCTATTGTATGATTTATAGACAAAAAAATAACACATGACCGGTGTCATGTAATATTCGGTCGATTTTCGCCTTTTCTACTGCCACACCCCTTAATGCCGCAGCGACTTATTTTAATCAATACTTAATTGTTCTCACTGTCAATATTTTTATCCAAATTTATTACAATTCATGCGAATAATTCAATAAAACATTTGGCCAAACCGTAGAGGAACAATAAAAAAAGAATAGAGAAGCTTCTCGCATATATTGAAAAGGGATACCAACAGAGTACTTATAAATTCTCGGTTGTCTACTTTTAAAATTTATCCTGTTAAAGAAATTGACATGAAAATGAAGCCGTGGTAACCTAATGGTTTGACCTACTGCCTCTCAAGCAGAGGGTCGTGGGTTCGAATCCAGACTCGCACCTCTCAGTTTCTCGGAATTTGTGCGAATTTTAGTTTGAAATTTATCATGAGCTTTTCGGTAAAGGAAAACATCGTGATGAAACGTTGAAGAAGGTTCAAAGTCCTCGGAAAACGTGTGCAGTCCCCAATCCTCATTGGGCCAGTGTGGTGGACTGTCGCCTGAGAGGAGACCCGTGCCCAGCAATGGGACGTATAAATGGGTTCATGATAGTGATGAAATCTGCCGAGTCTAAGGAGGAAGAATCCGCCAGACGACATTTAGCTTGGTTGAGTTTTAGTAACCAAATAAAACAATTATGGCAACTCATTACTTTTTTATTGGCCCTTGAACAGTATTAACTTAGTACCTATACATATTTCGAACTGAAAAAGTATTGAAAAGTAAAAAAAATACAATATTTAAAATGACCCATAAATTGGGGAAAACATAGTGGCACAAGCACGGTATCCCTAAAATCAGCTTAAACCTGTCTAATTTAATTTTTACGTTATTTATTTGATCTCTCTTTCTCGCGTATCATAATCTCTGCCGGTAGAAGCGAGATGGACATATTTGACAAAAGTAAGATATTCTCCTTATTTTAGGAGGTTTATACGATGTAAACAAAAATCTTTCAAACAAGACAAACACTTCAAATATTCCAGGTTTGTAAGAGTATTTCACTAGTAATTCATACAAGAAAAATCATTGATTTTACCTAATGAAAAATTAAAACTTACTTGTGAAAGGTTATGTGGGGAATTTTTCGTTCCGTACGGCTTTTACAGCCTAAAATACAACAATGCACTATTATTGTAAGCTGCAATAATCAATTACTACAAAGAAACGGTTAGTAACTTTGTAAAACACTTCTTAAAAGCACAAGCACATAAAATTGATGCATTATTATTTTTTGTCCCTTTCTACGTACGCGGTTTTGGTTGTATGACTCAACGCTCGTTGAGACCAAAAAATCCTTACGAGTGTTTGATGTGCATCGATTTTATGTGTTTCTGCTTTTAAGAAGTGTTTTACAAAGTTACTAACCGTTCCTTTGCAATTATTGCAGCTCTCAATAATGGTGTATTGTTATATTTTGGGCTGTAAAAGCCGTAGTTCTGTACACGATAAATTCCCAACGTAACCTTTCCCACGTAAGTTTTAATTTTTCATTACAATCAATGAATTTTCTTGTATGAATTACTAGTGACATACTCTTACAAGCCTGGAATATTACGATTTCATGTATTTTACATGATATTCAGTGTTCAGTGTTTTTCTTGAATGAAAGATTTTTGTTTGCATCGTATAAACCTCCTAAAATAAGGAGAATATCTTACTTTTGTCAAATATGACCATCTCGCTTCTAGCAGTAGTGGTTATGATACGCGAGAAAGAGTGGTCAAATAAATAACGTATAAATTAAATTAGACAGCTGATTTTAGGGATACCGTGCTTTTGCCACTACCTTTTCCCCAATTTATGGGTCATTTTAAAAATTGTATTTTTTTACTTTTCAATACTTTTTCAGTATTCTTTTTTCAACGCTTCTTATTTTGCTACCTTATATGTGGATTAACTGATTTCAAATAAATAATTGTCAGTTGGTTTTAAGTGTGTGTCGATGTGACCTCCTTACATCGTCAACCCACCTTTTTGTATTGCTTCTCTCCATTCGTAACGTATCGTTTTTTTCTTCTACTCATATTCAAATTAAAAAATTTGAATTGTTCCATCTTCCTTCGCTTTCGAAATATGTATACTAAGTTAATACTGTTCAAGGGCCAATAAAAAAGTAATGATTTGTCATGATTGTTTTATTTGGTTACTAAAACTCAACCAAGCTAAATGTGGTCTGGCGGATTCTCCCTCCTTAAACTCGGCAGATTTCATCACTATCATGAACCCATTTATACGTCCCACTGCTGGGCACGGGTCTCCTCTCAGGCGAGTGCTTAGGCGACAGTCCACCACACTGGCTCAATGAGGGTTGGGGACTGCACACGTTTTCCGAGGTCGTTGAACCTTCTTCAACTTTTCATCACGATGTTTTCCTTCACCGAAAAGCTCATGATAAATTCCAAATTAAGTTTCGCACAAATTCCGAGAAACTCAGATGTGCGAGTCTGGATTCGAACCCACGACCTTCTGCTTGAGAGGCAGTAGGTTAAACCATTAGGCTACCATGGCTTCATTTTCATTTCAACTTCTTTAAAAAAAAATTTTATAAGTGGACAACCCAGAATTTATAGGTACTCTGTTGATATCTCTTTTCAGTATATGCGAGAAGCTTCTCTATTCTTTTTTTTATTCTCCCTCTGAGGTTGGCATATATGATGACGTTACGTATTTTCGATTCCCGTGTTTGACATAAATTAATATAGTGCTATCTCTTTTGGCTTACGACGTCACGCCGTAGTTAAATAAAGACAATAAAATGTTTATATTTTCAACGACTAAATGCATCATATACATATGTCGGATTTATATTTGTCAATATAACATGTCCTTTTAGACAGGTGTCAACGTTATCTGTGGAAAAATAAAGGAAAACTATTGGAAAAATGTGATTTTTTCAAAATGGATATTTTTCATGATAAATTTAATTTATTGTGTTCTTTCACATAATAAAGCCAGGGGATTTTCATTCCCATTTTCGTCATCAACTCTCAGTTTATCGACAGAATTGCAAAATAAATTATTAATACTAGTTTTTCCGAAAGCAATGAAAATAGATGCCTTATATCAACACTGACAACGAAGAAGAGAAAACTGCAGTCATGAATTAAAGGTAAACTGGAGGACTTCTTAACATACGACAGTTTTCTTTGACGTTAGAATTAAAAAACTTGTTGAGGTGTATCACAAATGTTTTAATAAAATGGAAATTATGTAGAAAGGAAGATAGAGGAAAGTAGAATAATTATGGTAAAGAAATATTCTAATGATATTTGCAGTATTTTTCTTCATTTTAACAAACACGGACCTTATTTACCCTTGTAGTTTAGTTTCGATTCGTATAAAATATTAAAATTGCTTTTAGTATATCAAAGTAAACTGATGAATTCAATTATACCGTCTCTGAGACAGTATATGGGGTCAAGATTCAAGTCATACTTGAAATTGACATTTAAGATTAAAATTCAACTGTTTAGGATACAGTTAAGAATAGAGTATGCGAATTTAGAATACATTAGCGAGGTTAAGGACTAAAGTATTCAGTCGAACTACGAACAAACTTTGCAAACATTGTATTTGAGGTACGTCAGTACGCAAGTTAACTCTAGTTAGAGTTCCATCGTCTAATTACAGAGGCATTTAGGAGTTCGGGTGAGTTAGGGTCGTATTCCAGAACTCTACTCAATGCTCAAGTCAGGACTTGAGTATGATTTAAAGCACTAGAAATCATACTCAAGTCCTTGCCATTAAGGTCGTATTTCTAGTGCTTGAAATCATAGTCACGTCCTGACTTGAGCATTGAGTAGAGTTCTGAAATACGACGCTTAAACTTGAATGAAATGTCGATTAAAATAAACAAACAAAAAATTATATTTGTTAGTTATTATTTTGAAATACGTATTACAATAGAAACAATATTCTCTCTTTTTTTTAAATTGCAAATTACTCCTTTTGTTAGTTAAGGTGGGACTGTACAATACCAACAATGGAATTTAATGGTGGAGGGGGTGGAGAGGGGACCTTCTCAGCCTACTTTGTGAGCGGGGAGTTACGGAAACCCCCCTTCCTGAGATATACGAGAAAAGTAAATTTCATATAAAAACTTAGCAAATACGCAAAATTTACGTCTCCGTATTCTTTTTACGAAAATTTTTATTAATTTTCTGTATTCCCAAAATTTTGCCGAGACAACCTAACGCTGTACGTTCTTAACCTACAAAACTCGTTTCCAATCTTTTATTTTCAAATATTTCATTAATTCTTATTGTTATAACTACGAGTTTCGGTAATTTAATATTTTAGGAATAAATTACTAACACCGCGACAACCAAACGCCGTCCTTTCCTAACCTACAAAACCTGTTTCCTGTCATTCATTTTCGAATATTTCAATACTTTTTATTATCAAAACTACGAGTTTCCGTAACTTAATGTTTTAGGATTAGACTATTAACTATGTAGTCTATCTACCATATTAATTTCAACCCTCGAGTGTTGGTATTGTACAATTGAACCAAGATCTCCTGTGCCTGTTGTCTTAAATCTAAAATGGACGCCATCCAAATTAAAATAATATAGTTACTCGTAGCCAAAGCTTAATAAATAAAAAAATAAATAAAAAATACAATCAACAGCTGTGACGTTGACATTTGTATTTGACAGATGTTCATCGATTTTGATTATTTTTTGTCAAACAAAAATACAAATTCTTGCTTGGAATTGCTTTTTCTTGACTACAGATTACCGAAAGTGAAGAACTGTACAACGTATATGTGATTTGATTTTTCTATATACTATCTAGGATGGCTCATAAAGATGACGACGAATGCTATCCAGAAGACGGCGTTTACATCAATGCCGAAGATGGTATGCCTAATATCCACCCCAACATCGCGGACTTGGAACATGAGAGTGATTCTCAAGATGAATTGAATGATTTAGACGATCTACCAAAATCTGTTATCGTTACTAATATTAACAGCGCCGTTTTCGCCGACGACAAGCTAAAAAAAGAAATGGAAGATCTGTTCCGCACTTTTTCAGAGAATACAACGTTTCAATGGCTCCGCAGTTTTAAGAGATTGCGTGTCAATTACGACAGTCCCGTAGCGGCCGCTAATGCTCGTATTCAGCTTCATCAATATCAATTCCATGATACTTGCATAAACTGTTATTTTGCGCAGCCTGTGACACCAGTGTCGTTAAAAAACTTACGTCCGCCGGCGCCTGTAAAACAATTTCTAATCTCGCCGCCGTCCAGCCCACCAGTGGGGTGGGAGCCGCGTGAAGAGTTTGAACCTATGGTGAACCAAGATCTGCTCGCGGCGCTAGCTAACCTGGCGCCAGGCGAGAGCCACGAGCTCCATGCACCGACACCCACGCAGCCAGCCATCGTCGTTCACACCGCGCTAGCGCCCGACGCGAATGTGCCGCGAAATGCTTGTAAGCTTCCCCAAACTCGTTGTCCAGACTATTGATATGCCCTTAAGCTAGTGAATTAACTATGTAGAGTAGAAGAATGAATGCTTTTTCAGTCACAATCAATTTTGATGACCTGCAATGCCAAAACATGCATTTCTGCAGTGTATAAATCTGGTAAACGAATGTCCGTGTATACAATGTTTGGCAGTAGAATTTCACTACTATTTGTAGCCCATAGGAAATTGCTTGTTAATTCTTTTCATATTAATGTGGTGCTATTTTATGGTATTATTTTTAGTTTAATGCAAAATTTATTTATTAAAGATTCTATTCAAATTTATTTAAAATTATAGTGTATACTTTGTTTCATTTAGAAAAATTTTGGGATAATTGGACATTTGGAACTTATTACAGTAAATTGGATAACAAATAATAACATATCAGAGGAACTAGAGTCTTAAATTAAAAGAACACCATAAACATTAGTCTGAGATTGCTCAATAATGTTATTTAATTGAATACACATTCCCTGTGACATAAAATAGCTTCTGCCATACAGGTCATGTGATGAAGTTGTTAGAATCTTCAAGTATTTATTTTACAACCTTAAATATATTTATTATTGTTAACTGTAATTGTAAAATATAATAAATGTTTAAAAAATAAATCAATTATTTATTAATTGTTATGGCTAAATATGTTGCAGTGAATGTGTTGTAACACCTCTGATTACAAGAATATGTTTTCAAATTTAATGATTATTGCTTGCTTCCTTTTGAATTTACGTTATGCACTTATGTTATGCACTTATGTTAGTTTAATTTATTGTATTGTCCAGGCAACTGGGTAGGAGCCTACGTAGAATGTTGTGATAATTAATATGTGAGAGTCACATTCTTAATATTGTTATTAACATGTAAATAATAAATTATTTTTGCAAATGGCAACCTAGGTAGAAATTTTGGAATTGTTTTCAAAGACATAATGAATAAATTAAAAGAGAGTAGGCCTTTTTTTAAATTTTCTTCCTTTAAATCTTCAGTTTCTGTTCGTATCTAAAATTCTTTACCTATTTTATCAAATAATGTCTTGCTCAAAAATTGCCATGTTCATGCACAATAAAAATTCCTGTATATACATTTTTGTTCAATTCTGTATGTTCAATTCAATTGTTTATGATTAGAAAAAAAACACCACAACAATATTATTAGATCTTAGTGTGGGCGCTCCATGAGTAAAACCGTAGGCCGACACTTTGATACCTTTCATGTTTACGATTGATAAGGAGTGTCTTTAGACAATTTTTAGCTGTTTTCTTTTACATTTCGATTTTTAAAAGATTTCTTTCAATGCTCTAACATTCTTTAAGATCGGCGAATGCGAATTCATTTGAAAACTGTTTAGTACTTTGAAAAAATTGTTTTACTGTTGAATTGCCTGAATTATTATAACTTGACATATTGGTCTTACTATCGGCAGACTATTCCTTGCCAGTCTTATTTTACTCCTAGCTATCACTAGTGTCTAATACTTACGAAAGACTGGTTTCAATATTATTTCTTCATTGTCATCTCCAACACTCTAGCGATCCAAAAATTCCAAAATGAATTGTTCAGAGATAAAATAAAGTAGTTTTTATAAGAATATACATATTATATTTGAACCCATATACATTCATTGTTTCTACAAATTGCATTGCTTCTATAAAATTGTAAATAGATCTACATTCAAGTAAACGTGATAATTGATACATCATTGACCTACCAACAATTTTGTAGTATCAATTTGTTGGTAGGTCAATGGACACCAAATAAAATGTAGAATTGTCTTTTGTTTTAAGCCTGAGATGTTGATTATGATAGTGTGTATTAAATAAAATTATATACTTGGTTATTTCCAGACAAATGGTTGTGGAAAGTAGTAAGCATTGTTTGGAACCTTAAGAATTTGGAGTAGATGTCCTTTCAGTTATCTATCAGATTTCGTATATTATATTGTTACGTGCACTAAATCACCTCCATACCATTTATCGAGTACTTACGGATGTTGGTGTTAAGGAAGGTATTTAATAATACATGTTTCAAGTATCCGTGCAATGCTGTATATTTTCTGTGATGTACTTACATGTTTATAAATTAATCGATTCACAGGGAATTGCAAAAACGTTCTTTAAATTTAGTGTGTCATTAACTCATTAGCTACTATACTGCCCTTAACTTTATCAGAGCAAAACGTAAGACAGCGTGTTACATAATTAATTATTAAAGTTAATGGACGTTTATGCAATTGAACGTAAGTATTTAACAATCGAATGGCAGTTGAAATATAATTATTAGTAGTTCTATATCACCTGTTTGCACGTAGTAAGTCGGGTGCGAATTTATTAGGGTATAATACACAGCTATATTTACATAAAGAACTCGTAGATTGCGGGCTAACATTCAATGTTAATCCAAAGGGATAATCTGTCGGTATTCGATGGTGATCGGTATGTAGTATGTTTAGTAAGCGTGTCATGATATTAAGATTTGTGTACATTATATGACTACTTAACATTATTGATGTTTATACAACTGTGTACTTGATGTGCTCTAACTGGCTATTCGTCTTATTCGATGTCCCCCTTTAATTGGACCATTAAGTGTATAAAACTCTAACCACTACTAACAAGAGCACTACCCTGTGTAAAAAACTTTTCACCTCATATTCTTAATACCATGCTTAAACTACATATTACATTACATAGGTACGTACATTATTATAAATTGTTAAAACATCGGATATTCAATGTATGTTCATACGTTGGTGTATCTTATCTATGGGTGTTTTCAAATCTCACTGTGATTTCAATATTTATTGTTTGATGTAAATATAAAATTAAATATTGAGTTTTAATAAACGTCTTTAACTTAACGATACTTATAATAGTCTAGTACTTAAATACCTAACTTACCTAAACAATTATTATCTATGTTTTTAACATTATTTTATGTACATTCGTATAAATAGTCATAAGTTATTTGATTTCTCTTTGAAATATAATTAATTTAAAGTATTATTTATGCACAGTAAGATTATTTAAAGGGTCATATCACGTACACTCTTAAGGCTGAAATTCGATAAACTTTACTATCATCCCTTTCGAGTGACATCTTCCAGGGGAACCATTACATCTGGAGTTTTATCGTCCACAATATGTGTTCTACGTCTTTTCCCTATACAACTCTTGAAACACGTATCCCCTTTTCCAAAGTTCTCCCCGTCTAATATAGTCTGCGGCATCGGCTGGTTCATAGTTTCAGGCAAGAATAAACACAAACATCCCGAAACAATTGTTACAACACCGAAAGTCACCGTTGGTATTTTTGGATCGAAGGAATCTAGTAACGTTATCAAAGGTGTTAAAGCCCCCGAAATTCTGGCACACATTGAACCCAGCCCCATAGCTGAATTTCTCACTACCGTAGGGAACAATTCTGCAGAAAAATTATATATAATAGCAAAGGAACCAGCAATAAATAATTTGCCCGATACGACTACGACTGTAGCCCAAATATTACCAGGACCAATAATTGAACCAAGAATGCAGGCTGCTCCGCCCACTAACATCATAGAGCTTATTAGAGGTCTGCGTCCCCAGACATCAAGGAAATAAATAACAGCTATGTAGCTCGGCAATTCAACAAACCCCATTACCGCCGTGATTAAGTATGGATTTCCTTCCATCTTACCAGTACTCAAAGTGAGGCCATAATAAGCTATAGAATTTGCAAACCAGCACAAGCAGACGTTTAAAGTTTTATTTCTTAAGTTTGGCGTTTTGAATAAGTCTAAAGTCCCTGCAGAAATGGGTTTCTCAGAACCTTTAGAAGCTTCGGCCCTACCTCTTGATACTATATCCGCTCTATCTATCGTGAACTCAGATTTATTGAACTTCAGGGCTTTTTCAAGTATGTCTACGGATTCCTTCACTCTCCCTTGAGTCCACAGCCAGCGAGGCGATTCATCCATTATCCAAATGTGTGGAATTAATAAAACACTATGTAATCCGTATATAATTTGAAGAACTTGCTTATCATCAATTATTGCACCCCACCCTGCTACCAAAATTATACCTGCTGCAAATGCAGCTTGAAACGCTACCCCACAAATGGTTCTCTTAGTAGGGCCTACTATTTCCATGGTTAATACAAATCCAGTAATGTAAGATCCGGCTGACCCAAATATTCCATACAGAAATCGAATACCCACAAATGACCAGTATTCTGGCATAAAAGCCACGAGTATACCAAAAATTAATTGCAAAACTCCTGACCAACAAAATATTGGTTTTCTACCTACTTTATCCGCTAACCCTCCGAGTACCACAGCCCCAGTGAAGACTCCTAACATGTAGATGGTTTGCGCCAGAGATCCCATCCACCTGCGATCACATACCAGCTCCCATTCAATAGCTCGCGAAGACGTCCTGTATTTTGAATCGAACACCCATTTTGTACAAGTCATGGTCGCGTTGCTCTCAGAACTAGCGTTAACATACATATGACATGAGTCTAGACTCCCCATTGATGTCAAGGGTATAGCCGCTAATATGCTTGACGAGTTCCATGATGCGATAGAGTCGTTTGTGTCTACACCGTCGATCCAGCACCTGAAATGTGAAATATGACACTTAAAAATTAATACTAACACAAGTAATAAATAATTTTAATGTGATAGTTTCAAACGGGCGTGTATAACAATATAATATTCTGCTGATGAAATGTTTCTGAAGCAATACGATCTCTATCTGACCATTTAATTTTGCATTAAATTACTTTAATAATTACTATATCTATGATCTTACCTTTCAAGATTTTTATTTGTGTGTTGGGTAAAATTGAAGACATTTTGAATAGAGATATAAAAATGTTTAATAAAAATATCAAATAATTAAAACAAATCGAAGTAAAAGAGGTATAAGCTAGCTAAATTAAACAAAACTTTCGGAATTATGACTAAAAATGCACAAAGTTGGCAGTAACAATCAATATAAATAATTTTAAACGTATACAGTTCAGGTTGTGAAGTCGTTATGAAGAAATGTTAATGCGATTAACAATCTGTAAGTCTCATACCTCAGTAAGTACTTTCATAATAAGTATAGTAAGTAGTTCATTGTTCTTAGTGAAAACGTTGAAAAATATTTGATTAAATATCAATAGTTTAATAACATTTCCAAATACCTAATAGTATACCTATCCTACTTACCTACAAAACGATAAGAAGGTAGGTAATTTAACCCTGATTTGTGCCCCCTGTATTTTATACGTTTGGGGCTTTCGTAAACGCTATCGACTAGTTACATTGTACTTAATGCACTAAGCAATTGCTTTTATAGGAATCGCAGTATTTGAAATCTAATTCGTCTCAGCGTTCTCTCTCTAAATAGCTTCAAAATATGCAAGTAGGCAGATCTACCGACTAGTACACTTAAAATAAATTTAAAAAATACTTAACAACATTACTTATAGTGCATATCATAAGCATGACTATGTTTTTTATTAAAAACATTTATATTGATGCTTACGTCATAAGATTATAAAAAAGAATTAAAGTACTCTCTAAGTAGGTACTTACTTGCGTAAATTGAAAACCCTTTTGAAATTGAAATGTTCGTCTCATTTTTATAGTTACGTGTTATTTTAAACGAGTCCACTTTGCATTTTTTGCTTAAATCTGACTAGATAATCATAAGCTTGAGTCTTTTCGAAGTTTGTCTTAGCTTTAAATTATAACCTAGTTTACTAGATAAAATTCATCCATAATTTTAGCTTTGCTGAAGTCAAGTTTAATTTAATAGTAATCCTAAATACTGTTTACATAAGAATATCCTGTATTTGATTTGAATGCTGCGTGGCAAGTTTATTTATGTTGTATTGGGCAAGTGTATTTTAGTTATTTTTTGTTCGTGGACGTGAGAACCTAAAATAACTAAGTAATTAAGACTGTTTGAGTTATTATTTTAACTTTTACTCGGACGCTCGGCCTCATTTATTTCTTTAACATTCTCCTAGAGGTACCATGGTCTCTGGAAGATCAACAGAAGTTTCACTCATTTTTCTACCACTGCAATTCGTGAAGCAAGTATCTCCGATACCAAATTTTTCGCCATCTTCCAAAGATTGTGGCAAATCCCTGCCAATAGTTTCAGGCAGTAACAGTGTTGATAACCCTGACAAGAGCGCCATGAAACCGAATATAATCGTAGGAATTTTAGGGTTTAAAGAATCCAGAAGACTAATCAAAGGAGTCAGAGCGCCTGATACACTTGCGCACATGCTTCCAAGCCCAACTCCTGAGCTGCGGACTACAGTAGGGAATAATTCTGCGGAATATTTATATATAATTGAATAGGAGCCAGATATAAAAAGTTTACCAACCATCACGACGCCTGTTGCCGCTGTAGAGCTATGTGGTAATGCTACAACTACCAAACAGGCAATACCACCCAATAACATCATGGCGCTTATAAGAGCTCTGTGACCCACTCGGTCTAAGAAATATATAATGATGACGTAACTAGGAAGCTCTACAACGCCCATTAAAAACATGATAAAATAAGGATTCCCGTTTAGTTTGCCAGTATTAAGAGAAAGGCCATAATAAACAACGGAGTTGGCAAACCAGCAACCGCAAATGATTAATGACTTTCTGAGCATGTTCCGCGTCTTAAAGAGATGTGCTGTGCCAGCCGATTTCTCTTCGGTATACTTGGCGCAAGTAGCTTTACAGTGCGATACCAAACATGGTGTGTCTAGAGTTTCGGTAGACTTGTTAACTTTTAATGCCTTCTCTATAATAGCTACAGACTCTCGAGCTCGCCCTTGAGACCAGAGCCACCTCGGGGATTCGTCCATCCACAACCAATGAGGAAGCAATACTACAGCGTGTAAGGCATACACGATTTGTAAATAGAATCTATTGTCAATCAAGTATCCCCATGCGGCTAGCAACATTATTCCAACCGCGAACATAATCTGGAACATGACTCCACATATAGTACGTTTGCTTGGACCAACTAGTTCCATAGTTAATACGAATCCGGCGATGTAAGGTCCGGAACCAAAGATTCCGTATAGGAAACGCACTGTTACGAACGAATAATACTCGTTTACAAATGCAACAGAGGCACCCAGAATTAGTTGAAGTATTCCCGCCCATACGAAAACAGCTTTTCTTCCAAATTTATCACAGAGTCTTCCGAGTACTAGCGAGCCAAGAATCACTCCGAACATATAGGCCGTTTGCGCAGCGGCACCCATCCACCGGCGGCTGCACACGAAGTCCCATTCGATGCCGCGAGATGAGGTGAAATATCGGGTATCATAAACCCACGACTGACATTTCTCCAACGTGTCATTTGTTCCATACATTTCGCATGACTCTATCTTCCCATGCCCGTTTAGGGGTATAGCTTTTAGCACCAGGGAAGAATTAAAAGGCTCAGTGTAATTGGCAGTGTCAACATCTGGCAGTGCACATCTGAAATATAAAAAACCAATTATATTATTGTATCATTATACACTTCGAGATGAAATGTTTTAGTAAAGATATAATATTATGTACTAAACTACTCGTGCTGTGATTAATGTCAGTACGTGATGTCGGTAACTATTTGTGCACATTATGATTAAAAGCTGTGAGTATTGTTATGTAAATTTTTAGGTATAAATAGGTTCTATTGTAAGACAAATAAATAGCGTGAGGGAGTATTTAAATATATAGGTAGTAGGTATTCTATACTTAGGAAGTGACGATCCCACCCTGCAAATTAGTATTGTAGCATGCAATGTGATTTGACACTACGTATTACCATAACAATTGGTAGTAACACAAAACTGATGTAGTGTAGTATGATATTTAAAATAGTTCGATAGTAGATAAACATACAAGAAAGTAATTAATTGAACACATTATAATTTTTTTTAACGTAGAAATGTACTTACCCATACCCATGTAAGAAGTAAAGGTAAGATATAAAGAATCAAAAACAATGGATAAAGACGTTATTGTACTTGCAGTTTCATCAAAACATTTGAACCAAGAAAAGAAACCGTCACTAATTTCTTTCTCACTTTGCTAGCATCGAACCGAATGTTATTTTTGGTAGGGTCATAATTATGTTACAAAACAAAATATACTTACATTCACCCCAAAGTATGTAAACATCGAAAACACTTTGTGTGTAGAATGAAGAGTAAACGACTTCCGTAGTCTCATGTCACCCTGTCCCGTAATCAAGCAGTAATTTATACTTTCTGTAACCTTAAAAAGCACTTTTTTGTTAAAACGCATAACCTTGTACCAAACCCAAACGTAAGCTTGCACAATTTGACCTCTATCAATGCGATAACAAGTAGCAAAAATTACACCATAAAATATTTTCATAGCTTAAATGTGATAGAGCTCAAATCATTTCTTAAAACATTGCTTTCACGGGCAGACATTGATTAGGTACGAGCATACGTTGCGAATCATGCATTCTTATAAGGAATACTGAACGTTTAAGTACCTAAATCGGCAATGAAGAGCAGTGATCCGCGAATAATCATCATGTTATATTAACCCAAATACTTCTAAAATAGTTACGTACTCTTAGAGTAATTAAAGTACTAAACATTTAATACGTAGGTTTATTATTTTTTATGCAAAAAAGGAAACTAAAGCTAAGTAGTATTCCAAATGTTCTGTGCGTTTAATCGACGACCGGCAAAAATTCCCAAATGCCAGGGGTTCTACAATTTCTCCAACGTTTTGGAGGTACTCGTAACTATATATTTTTCGTCTTCCGTTACATATTTTATTATTTTGCGCTTCTCATACCGAATTAATTCAATGTTATGGCAATATAATCTTGTTTTATTATTGACCGCAAACAGTTAGAATTAATTATAAATAGACCGCATATTACGGCCGGTTTTAATATTAGACAAGTCAATAAATAATAAAAATCCATCATTACCGTTACGTTGTTCGCGGGCAAATGCATATAAGGCACCATTAGATACAACAATAATGACTTTATATTTGGACATGCATAAAAATGTATTTGGTTGTTTGTCGATTAGCACACCCCCGTGTATCAAATCATGCCATGCAGGCTTCAGTTTGTTGGTTTGATAGTCGCAATCTTCACCTTAGTTAGATTGTGTTCTTTTGAAACAATGATGCAGTTCCATCTAGAGCCCCCGGACCAAACAAAATTGCATAAAAGTTTACTGGGGAATCAAATCCGACACAGTCCTCGGCGTCCTTACCCTTGTGATCAAATTGATGATGAATTAACAAACAGTAGAAGTTAATAATTTACCTATGATCCGGCACCGCAGCAACTGTTACTAAGGACAACATGTGCATGCCCGCTGTGAACGCAGCCAGGATGTGAAGCGTGAATTGGAAGGCCTGGTACCGTCCGAAGTCTCCTGTGACCAATAAATATTTACAAGTTACTACACCACACTTACTCTTTTGTTGTTATTTAACAGAAAGAATTAGTTTCTTTTCGGAAATTATTACTAAGATTATGTAATTATTGAACATTTTATCCAAAGTTATTCGAATAATACCTATTTCATCGTAAACACTCTACAGTATTCATGGTTCCAAATATGTACATAATGTAGACGGCCTGAGCTAGAGGAAAACAAGTAAATTTCAGAAATTTACAACCTGATCTTACATATGTTTATAGTAGATTATCGCAAAATTGTACCTAATAACATTTCTGACTATTAACAGCTATTACGTATTGGTGTCGTTGCATGCCACTTTGCAGCGTGTTTTCTCTTATTTGATGGTTAAAATATATCGCTTTTAACGAATAAAGTGCTGATTATTATTATTCTTGTTTAGCATCAGTCTTCAAAATTATCAAAAGTAGGCGTTAACAACCGTTAAAGCTATGAGTAATGATATAGTGCATAGTTTCCCAAAGTGTCCCCCACTGGACGCTGAAGAGTTCTAGATAGGAGTCTCGGAATCAATTGGGAGCGTTGATGCTGTCCAAGAGGAGCTACCGCATTCGAAAAAAAAATCTGAATTATTTATATAAACTTCACTACATATATATGTTTCCTTGTGATTTTTTTGTTAAATTAATATAAAAAATACGTGTTTTCATTTATTTTTTGTGGTGGTGGGCGATGAATTTTTTTTATCTTGAGTCATCGGGGGCCAAAAGTTTGGGAACCTTATGATATAGTGCATAACGCTTATTATTTCAGTTCCATTTCAGAAAATAAAAATTACTTCCCGAATTTTCCATTTCAAACAATTCATATTTAACTGCCTCCGTGGCCGAACGGTTACCATACCGGACTGCCACGCAGAGGTCCCCGGGTTCGATTCCCGGGCCGGGAGAAATATTTGTATGGCCTACATTTATTTCTCTCGTGAGTTTGGGTGTAATTTGTGGTTGTCTATGTGTGTGTCCATGGCACCCGCGACACAGGGTTTCCCTAGTGTGGGGCTATGTTGAGTGTGTGCGTTATTATTATTATCGTATTTATTTTAAACTCTCGCCTCTCCCAAGGCCTAAAAGATTAATTTTGAATTTTTAAATGGGAGAGGCGGTATTTCCCGGCAATGGCACAGTCAGCCGGGGTCAGGGACTCAGGTCCAAGAATCGGCGAACAATACGTGCCGTATCGAGCAGGACCGCCTTCTGCATTTGTGCTGGAAGCGACACGCCACAGAAATCCAACCGCCTCAAGCTGTTAGAAAGGCTTACTGGAATTAACCCATTTGCGGACAAAACAATTGGGATTATTTCAGTGGAGGCCACATCCCACATGTCGGTGATCTCGTGCGCCAGGTCGAGATACTTCCGGCGTTTCTCGGTTTCAGCTTTCACGAGACCCTCGTCATGCGGGATGGTGACGTCCACAAGAAATACCCTCGACTGCGATCGATCCAATATCACAATATCAGGCTTATTCGCAAGAATAGTCCTGTCCGTGATAATAGATCGATCCCAATAGATTTTGGTGCGGTCATCTTCGAGTATTGGCTCCGGTGAATACTTGTAATATGGCAACCTCTGTTGCACTAGTCCGTACTTGAGAGCGAGCTCTTGGTGTAATATTTTGGCTGCCTGGTTGTGTCTGTGCAAGTACTCAGTGTTAGCAAGAGCGGAACAACCGGAAACAATATGCCTAAGTGACTCTCCGGGACGGCCACATGCCCGACAAATGTCTACTGTGCCGTCCTTTAGGATATATTTCCGATAGTTCCTCGTCTTGATAACCTGATCCTGTATTGCACAGACAAAACCTTCGGTTTCCCCAAAGAGGTCCCCGAAACGCAGCCAATGTAGGGAGGCTTTACGATCCATAAAAGGCTCGTGGAGTACCTTGAAGAACCTCCCATGGAGCTCCTTCTCTTTCCATACGGACTCGCGGTCAGAGGTGCTAAGCACCACCGGGTCTCGCCATTCCTCTTTGGCCAACGATAAGGGAGTTAGCCCTTTATCACATGTGACAACCTCTCCACGAATCACGTCATCCGTCATCGTCAAAAAGTAGTTTCTGAGACTGCATATCTCGCGGTTGTGCATGGTTTTGACACTTAATAGGCCTCTACCTCCACACTTCCGCGGGACATACAATCTCATAACTGACGATCTCGGATGATGCATTCGGTGAGAGGTCATCGTCGTGCGGACTCGTCTATCCAGAGCGTCTAATTCCGTCTGAGTCCATTTGAGCACGCCAAATGTGTACATCAGAACAGGCATGACCCAGGAGTTATAAGCTCGGATCTTATTAACGCCTGACAAATAGCTGTTTAGCACATTTTTCAGGCGCCCATAAAAAACCTCGCACACACCCTGTTTCACGTCTGCTTCCTTCACACCGATGGTCTGCGACATGCCCAAATACCGGTATGTTTCAGTCTCGGAGAGTACCCGCAGGTGATTGGTGCCAATATTAATGCCATTAGAATGCATGACACGTCCCTTCTCAACATGGACCACCGCGCACTTATCGATCCCAAGCTCCATCCTAACCGAACTGCTGAAATCGTTGGTGATTGTCAGCAGCTCCGTCAATCTGTCAGCTGTGGGGCCGTATAGCTTGAGATCATCCATGTAGAGAAGGTGAGGCATTCGCGGTCCACCTCTCCGAAACTGAAAGCCTGTGCCCGACCTCTCCAATAGAGTACTCAGAGGGTTCAGGGCCAGGCAAAACCACAGTGGACTCAGACAGTCACCCTGGAAAATACCTCGCCTTATTTCTATTCGGTCATCCGCATCCGTCATCCGCCGACCATCCAGACTCAGGATCGTTCTCCAACATCCCATGCATTGCCCGAGGAAGTGTCGAACTGCACTGTCAATTTTATACAGTTCGAGGACCCTCGAGAGCCATGAGTGGGGCACCGAGTCGAACGCTTTCCTATAGTCTATCCAGGCAGCGGAGAAATTCCGACGGTTGCGTCTGACAAGTTGGCCAGCGACCGCGTCGATGAGGAGCAGCTCCTTACTACCGCGGCTACCGCCCCTACATCCGTTCTGAGCCTCAGACATCACACTGTTATCAACAATGTGCTGACTTATCTTGGAGCTCAAAACAGATGTTAAAGTCTTGTATATTGTACAAAGACAAGTTATGGGGCGATACTGTGATGGATCCACGGTAGCATCGCTCTTTGGAGCTAAATGAGTGACCCCAGTAGTTAAGAAGTTTGGGAGCGTCCCACTCTCAAGGGCACTTTGGAACTGACGAGCGAGAGTAGCGTGGCAGCACCAGAACCCCTTCAGCCAATAATGATGCAGTCCGTCCGGTCCCGGACTTTTCCAGTTCGGAGCCTTACGGACCGCTACCGCTACATCCTCTTCGGATATGCTGATGGGATTCATAGGCGCTATGGTTGCACATGCTCTCTCGACCGCTTCGAACCATGGACCCTCTTCGTGATCGACGGGCTGCGACCAAAGCCTTCGCCAAAAGGCGACCACTTCTGCTTTGTCCGGACGCTCACCCGTCAAGACCACATCAGGACGCTCCAGTGTCCTATAAAACTTCTTTTGGTCACTCATGAAGAGACGATTCTGCCGATACCTCTTCACCCTTTCGGAATATCGCCGAATCCGCTTGCCCCAAGCAGCTATCTTCTGCTTCAGATCATCAATGCGCCCTGTCAGTTTTCGTGCAAACTCCGGTGAGTCTACAAAAATGTTCTCACCGGAGAATGCTTCTCGGACAAAGCGCATCACTCTCGGCCTTGTGACGCCTGATCTGAAGCTAGTCAGTTTGCCGATGAGGACCCTGGCCCATGCTATACGACCCTCAATTCGCCTCATCCAGGCTGGCTTAGTACTAGTCCTAGGAGTAGTGCTGCCAACCTGGTGGTTACCGCCGGGTCTTGTTGGCGGCATCCTGACGCCGACAAATTGACACACAGTCATTGCGGCAGCGAAGAGAATTGAGTCTGTCTCCCAAAGGTCTGCGCTTTCCTCTAAAAATGAGGGAAGCATGTTGTTAATGGCCCCAACGGCATCCCGAACCTTGATACTGAGAGGCACTCGAGGCAGCCGTGGCCTTCGCTCAAGAGGCACGTGGCGATATTCCAGAATCGTCTCCTCCAGACTACTCCTCAACGCTTCCAAATCCAGGGCGACTGTTCCCCAATCACTTTCAGTACCACCCGTATCCGGCTGCTGAGCACTAGGTTCCCTGTGAACTTCCGTGCTGGGAACAGGAGAGCGCTCCAGCCTGGGTGGCTCTTCTTCCAGTGGAGGAACAGCCTCGCATCGTAATTGCTCGAGTTCGGCAGCGCTAAAAAGTCCTGAGCGCTGTAGGTACCGAACCCGGTCCGCCAGGTTTTGTTCTGTGACGGTCAAAGTTGGCTCCAGCCGAAGAAATTCGCGGTACATTACTCCTCGATAACCTGTCCGTCCGGTTCCCGAACCTGAGGCCCTAAAATAGGCCCGCATGGCATTTTTATTCATATCAATCGTTATTATTATTATTATTATTATAACTAATTATACAGCTTCCATATAACTTATCCAAGTATTATTTGACTAACAGACTGGTACTAATTAGCCGTAATATGTACTTGTGTTTGTATAATGTGTCGGTCGTTGTATACAATGTGTGTAGTGATGACCTACGGTGACCTGCGGACAGTTCTGTTCTGCTCGGACGGACATATCATTCGACGCAAAATATAAAGACAATGTTGTCGTAAACGGGCCGATTATTTCTATTCTTAAATATAGTTATTCAATTATTACAAGTTACAAACTCGCACTACATTGACTGATGCTTAAGACGGAAGGAACGTTCAAAACTTAGATAACCGCGAAAAGTAACTACATATTCGATAGTTTCTTGTTTGTATTGTATTCCTCAATGGACAAACAAAGTTACTAACAATATTATTAGTGTGAAGAAATTGAACAGTAGGTAAATTAAGT